TTTGGAGTCTAGGGATCATCTGTTTTTTGATTGCCCTTTTAGTAGAGCAATTTGGGCTGGTATGATTTCGTGGGCAGGTTCGTCTCATCGGGTTTCACATTGGTCTACAGAGCTTACTTGGATTTGTCATGTTAGTGCTGGATCGTCTGTTCGGCGGCATGTGTGGCGGTTAGCTTGGACTTCGACTGTCTCTCTCCTTTGGAGGGAGCGGAACCTTCGTATTCATGGTTGACAGGGTCGCTCGTCGTCTGTGCTCCTTAGGGTCATTAAAGCTGAGGTGTATTTTCGTTGCAGTACTTGGCCAGGGAGTTGTTGTAGGAGCTCTGAGCCCATGGCTTGGGACTTATTTTCGTGATTTCTATTGTTCTCTTTACCTTTTTTGTTTTTGTTGCCTTGATCTCGGACTGTGAGATCCTCCTTATACTTTTCTTGTTTTTATATATTTTTATTTGCCTTTGCAAAAAAAAAAAGTTATGTATTATAGATAAAATAGCCCATGTACTCTTGCAACTCTTTAAGAAGCCCATAGATTTTTAAAAGCTTTTACACCACATTTCATAACAATTTGGGATTAGTACATAAAATGATTCAATCACACAAAATTTATACTTTTGTCATAAAATAACTCCCTTTAAGATGGTACCCATCAACAATTTACCAATATATCATTCTTTATTTACACCTAAATATTAATAAATTATTGAAATTAAAAATGGTTGATTTGGGAGGTTATATTTTAAATCTCTTATTTTGTGCCCATTTACATTTTCCAAAAATAAAATTACCCAAATAATCGAACCCAAATTCCCAAAATTCTTTTGCCTCCTTCATCCGCCCGTTTCTTCTTCCGTCGGTTTCTTCTTCTTCAGCAAACACCATTTTTTCAAGCATTTACTTCGTTCACTCGCCGGTATCAGGCCATAGCAGGTCGTCCCGTCAAGGTTCTTTGTTCTTGTCGTCGACTATTTACTCCGTTTATCTGCAGACTGTTTACTCCATTCTCGTCGTCGGCCGCCCGTCAAGCTTCTCACCATTCTAAAATCGAGGTTTGTTTCATCTTCTTCCGTCCATGATATATTTTCCATACCCATATATCTTTAAGATGGTACTCATTCCTTTAGATGAACTAGTTTTGTACTGTTTAACTAGTCTTTTTTATATGCGGATTAGTTTATATCTAGTTTAACTAGTTTAAGAATCCTACGTACCTTTAGATGAACAMGTTACCTTCAGATGAACAATTTTTTTGTACTATCTAGTTTAATTAGTATCATCATCGAGCAGTTAAATTTTTCGATGTCCATATTCTCAAAGAATCGACAATATAATTTGAGTGGTGCAAAATTTAGGCGTGAATATGATACTCATTTTTTTTATATGCAGATATAGTTTATATCTACAAATAAGTACCAAGTGGATAGTTTATATAAGTTTATGTGATTCACCAATACTTATCGTTTATATGATTTATCAAAACATATTCATATCATTTCAAAAGTGACAAAATCGTGAGCAGTAGTAACTTCATCTTTGTATTAGTGCACTACAGCATTAAATTCTACAATTGGCTAATTAATTGGTGAGTGACAACCATGTGAGCAACACATTGAAAGAGTAGGGAAGGAAGATCGTGGAAGAAATGAAAATTGCAGAAAATCGTGGGTATATTTTCAATTTCAAATCATAGGTAACTCTACACATTAATTATTTTCGAATTTGAAATCATGATAATATTTTTGTAATTACTATATGAATGAGTAAATTAAGGGATTAAGGACATAATTGGTTTGGGCCACAGTAATTAAAAAGTTTATAAAATCAAATTATGGATTTAAATCTTTTACATTTCAAAAACAAAATAACAATAATAAATATAAATACAATAAATATGGGTAAATTCGGTATTATTAAAAAATCCTAAATGCATACATTTAAAAAGTAAAATTGGAAAACCTTAAACATTTGTGAAAATAAATTTCTAAAATAGCCACCCCAAAGTTTGCTGTGGTTTTCATTTTAAAAAAATTAGAATTACTACTTTCAATTATGTAATTGTGTACTTTCCTACCTAGTTTTTTTAAAACGTTTTAAAATTTTAAAATAGGTAGTTTATAAATTAATGGATTTTTTTAAACTTTTCTAAAAATTCAAACATGTTATAAATGGTGAAAAATATAATTAGTTTTAAAATTTGAATAAGATTTTGAAAACACTTTTAAAATATAGATACAAAAGATAACTAAAACAAGGGAGATTAGTGTTTAGAAATATATAAGATGATCTACTAAACAAAAATTTAAGAATTTATTAGAAATTTCTTTTAAACTTCGTAATGAAAAATATAAAGCTCAAGGATGAAATTAATAGTTTAATCTAAAAAGAATAAATGATTAGTATAAAAAAGCCCAACAAATCAGGAAAGGAGCAGCACTGAGGTGTGTCGGTCTTCAGCTGCAAAAAAGAGAGAATCAACAATTGGTTAATGAGAGCAAGTTACCAATGAGTAGTGGAGAGAAGAATGGCAAAATAAAAAGTAAAAAGTGGAGAGGCTTTTAGAAGAAAGGGATGGATTTGGCAGTGTGATGTTTCATCAGAAAACCTTGCATGAAAAAAGGAGGAA